AACACACACAGACACATACAAACAGAGGTATACACACACACACATATACTGTACACACAAACACAGAGTTACACACACAGAGGTACACACACACAGATACATACACACACAGAGTTACACAAACACAGAGATACAAACACACACAGACACATACAAACAGAGGTATACACACACATAAACACACAGGAAAACAAACAAAGAGATACATACACATATGCAGAGGTACACACACACACACACAGAGGTAGACACATACACAAATGACACACATACAGAGGTACACATACAAAGATGCACACACAGAGGTGCAAACACACAGAGGTACACAAACACGCACACAGAGGTACACACACACACAGAGGTAGACACATACACAAATGACACACATACAAAGATGCACACACAGAGGTACACACACACACAGAGGTAGACACATACACAAATGACACACATACAAAGATGCACACACAGAGGTCCACACACACACACAGAGGTAGACACATACACAAATGACACACATGCAAAGATGCACACACACACACACACAGAGGTAGACACATACACAAATGACACACATACAGAGGTACACATACAAAGATGCACACACAGAGGTGCAAACACACAGAGGTACACAAACACGCACACAGAGGTACACACACATATACAGAGGTACACACACCAAGGTACACACCCAAACAAACACACGCATGTGTCACTGCAAGACACTCTCACATTCACTTTCTATGATTCAGTGTATGATGACAAATTTCACCCCAACGAAACATGACATCTGAGATTAAATCAAATGTAATACGAAAACAATATACAAAATTTTGAGGAAAAAAAGTCTAACCATAAAAATCCTTTAGTGAGTGACCTTACAAGGTCCTTTCTGGAGTTTCCCTAGAAAAGACCCTGCAAAGCTATTAAAACACACAGACACATACACACCTATAAATAGCTACACAAACACCGCTCTGATCCCCCATGACGCCAGTGACTGCCAAACGGTACCGCCTCCAGTAACAGACACTCACACACACAAAAGGAAAGTTTCTTTACAAAATTGACTAAATAAAAACAATATACTCTGAGCGAGCTAAAAACACAAGTCAAAATCAATGAAAGCAATAAAGAAAACATCCAGAAGGACCCAAAAAATCAGGCAAACAGAAGAGCACTGGAGGCTGTGCGGGCTCTGTGAGGCTCGGAGCCACGTGAGATCTCCTATTTCTCTGTCTGGTAGCAGGCATCCAGCCATTATGCTGTCACAGGGATGGTCACAAGCTAACCACAACCTATTCACCAAAATGACAATGACACCAAACACCATTTTGGACACATTCAACTGCAGTTTGATGGCATATTTTAGTATTTATTAAAGCATCAGTTTACATGTTTGCAACAGAATCTTCTAACAAACAAAAGTAGCCCTTTTAACTCCCAAAACACAATTAGAATAGATGGCATTTTAATTGCTTGCATAGCTAAGCAGCTTAAGCTGAGTGGTATTTAGACGATTTCTAAATAACTAAACCGACTGACTATAGCGGGTTACTGATGCTCAAGCTTCTGATCCTGTAAAAAGCAGTGGCCACACCTGACGACATACCTGACGACACACCTGACAAACTGTATTTTCATCCACAGGTATTATATATCTAGTACAGGCAGTCTGTGAGCCTGCTGTCTTTGCCACAGGCACAGGAAATAAGGCAGGGGACAGAGGGGACAGGGTGCCAGTCCATCTCACACACGCAGGCACGCACACACACACGCAAGCACGCACACACACACACGCAAGCACGCACACACACACACACACACGCACGCACGCACACACACACGCACACACACACACACACAACAGACCATCACTCATATCTTTGTGGGGCCCGTCCATTCATTTCTATGGGAAAAACCAAAATCCAAAAATGATGCCCTTGATCCCTACAAGTTTTTGGCATTTTTTGTTTTTTGATTGCAGTTACAGATTTTTATAACACTGACGTTATCCTTATGGAAAAATGGTACACACACACATGCGCGCGCACACACACACAATAACAGGCTTTTATCACATTGTAGGGGCATTTGGTCCCTAAAATGTAAGATATACATAATATATGAACACATGATGCACTATTTAGATACCAATCAGCCTAAACAACATGTTTTTGGCTTGCAGGAGGAAACCGGAGTTCCCCAGGAAAAGCCACACACAGGACGTCCACACAGAGTGGGCTGAGACACGTGTGTAGCCCACAGCCCTGGAGAGGTGATGAATACACCATGCTGACCACAATGTCTGTTCACATCCCAGGCAGCCACACACTGTGCTGCAACTTAGACAGCTTGAACATGTACAGTATTTTTGAATTTAAACAAGTCTTACTATAACTCAGAAATTAGTTAGAGACAATGATTAATATGCTGTAACCCCTTCACATTTGCGAGGGGCGGAAGATGCCTGCAAATATAAAAATTTGCAAATAATAAGAACCTCTCACCTAAACCCACAACAGTCTGCTAGCCTGAAGGATAACATTAAAATTCTATTCATTATTACATCTATTTCTAAACAAACCATACTGTACTGTACATTTTGCATGTCAAATTTACTTATTTCATATTAATCTTTTTATATAAAATACAAATAATCTAAATTATTCCTCTGTATGTACAAAGTTACTACTGTAAGCACTGGGAACACTCTGTTTTGTACCCTTTATTAAATATGCAAAATTAGCCGCACTGAAAAGTTCAAAAGTTCACAAAGAAATCCAACACGCGAGGGGGGTCTGCTGCAGAGACAAAGATGCACAGCGTACCCAAGCCAAGACTTTTAATATTAGAGATACAGCATGTACTTACACTACAGATATTACAGTATGTATTACTAATATTTATATATTATATGTTTTTATATGATCCAAAGCATTTTCAATATTTTTTTTGGCTAATGTTACTTTTCGTGATATTTCGGCAAGCTCCCAAAATATTCCCATGTAACTGTTCACGGCCGACTCACGAATAACAGAAACCATAAATGTAAAGGGGTGTCTGTAATGAATTTTAAAAAATGCTAATTATTCACATCGTATCCCCTCTGCCCCTGTATGAATGGCAGACTCCTTACTCGATGGCTGAGTAGTGAGTGACATACGGGTCAGATCATAAAATATCCGTCTGGCAGAGTGTCACGAATCCCAGGGACCCCCCCCCCCCCCCCCCCCCCCCCGTCCCCCTCCCCCCCCCGCCCCCCCCCCCCCCCCCCCCCCCCCCCAAGTGACTTGCCCTTCTCGCAGCTCCTCCCCAGTGTCACGCTGGCCCACCAGCCCTGATGGCGTTCAGCCCGGCCTCACTGCCACAGCACGGCCAGCGAGACGCTCTGTACCAAAGCAAAGCACCGTCTGGCGCACACACAGCCATGTGTAACTAAGCATTTGGGGGCACGACCCCAGGCACCAGCCGGCCCCAAGTCACTTCCTGGGTGTTTGCTTACAGCAGGAAGCAGCCTTGCCCATAAGCAGAAATTATTCCTCTTAGCATCTTGGCTACTGTAATGCTTTTATTTTTATAATTAGAATGTAAGTTTTAACACCACACACACCTTTGAATCGCCCCATTTAGTTTAGTGCGGGCAGCATTAAAATTAGCATTAGTATTATTAGTATTACTAATACGACCACACTGCAGAAGTCAGCTTGGTCTTTTCACTTGGAATCCGCCTCCTGGATCCTGAGGTTGATCTCTGTTGGCACAGTTGCCCAGACACACTTACAAGCTTATCAGCCTAATGGGTTTCAGTCCATTACAATGAACAATGGGATTCAGTCTATTACAATGAACACTGTGTGACCAATTTCAGGGTGCAGGTGAGCACCTATGGGAGATATGAGAAACCCACCTTTTACCATGGCATTCAAAGCGAAGATGTTTCAGACATAACACATCGTGACACTGGAACAGAGCTAAACTCTTAAAGAAAGGAGGGGCGACGAGCAAAAAGGAACTAACACAAACACAGCGTGGAGACAAGAAGCAACGGAGCAACCAATCATCACACCAGTACAAGAAGCTCTTTTCCACCTACCACTGCAAGGTATTCAATCAAGTTTATGATTTTTTTTTATTAAAACTAAAAAAGGTATGATCATTATGACTGTCATTCAAAATTACTTATACAAAAGCAACTGTCATTGCCTAATACTCATTTGTTTACATGTTTGCGTGCCATGGGCTCAGTATTAATTACATCTCAAAGCATATCATAGAAATTGCTACACAAATTACAAAGACTTCTGTTGCTCTAACAATGAATTAGTAGACATACACATAAAGACACATACACATGTATGTTTGTTAATGATCAGCTAATTAGCTCATTGGCAGTTGTAGAAACTGTGTCATCTATCTTAGTGAAACATAAACTGTATATAACGAACATAAACTCAATAAAACCTCAACTATAAATAATGAGTATCTGTTAATAAGTTGCTATCTATGTCATAATGGGGACTCTCCAGAATAGCATAAAGTTACTCTTTTTTTCTTTTTTAACTGCCACTGTGAATGTAAAAACAGGAGTCAGTATTGGGGACATTTAAGTGAATCTGATTTTTCGACCTGAATATTTTTCACTAGAGCAGCCTGAGAGTTCACTTTACATAAGAAGCAGAACGGCGGCGGTGGGAAACGCGGCTCATTTTAGGGGATATAACACATCCACTCGACCTCCACAGCTCCCAGCAATGGGATTCTCTGCTCTTTGTTGACTGACGCCACCTCTGCACGCCGGGAACAAAGAAGGCCAAGACAGGGCACTGTGAATTGACTTTAGCTTGATTAAATGGTCACTGAGTCGGAAAACAGCCTTGATGTGATCTGTGACCTCACGCTGGAATCTTCTTACGAAAAGATTAAATGAAAACACCTTCAAAGGAACCTCAGGGATGACATGAAGATACAGAAAAAGGCAGATGTGTAGAAAAAGGGCTTTTGAGGCCTGTGGCACGGCCACGTCGGTGGCAGACAACGAGCCAACGTCATGCCAGCCGCCGGGCAGATACAGACACAGCAGCCTTTAACGAAACACCTCAGCGTCGTTAGACAAGACGAATAAGCAGATGAGACCATTAGCCATGCTTTACTGGGCCATGATTTTCCTAGTGATCGGACTGTGATTTTCGTTATGGCATTAAATATTCAGTTTTCCGATTCAAGTCCTCAAATTCCTTTTCTACACAGTTCTGATTTTACACACTTGATATCCTGAGGGACTTTCCAGCCATGTGTCATATGTTTCTTTATTAAATTGCTATTTGGAAGCACATTATAATAAAAGACTGACCCCAATGGGGGGCAGCCTAAGGAGGGAGGGCTGCCAGCTCTGATGTCAACAAGAGTCACTGGGAGTTTGTGAACTGCTTGATTTGACCTTTGATATCAGACATTAGACTTAACTGCCATATAATGTACCATGTCGTATCCGTCCATCATTCTCCACACAGGCCAGATCCACGCGTCCAATTGCGAGGCTGGAGCTGGTTTCAGACGAGAACTGTGACCCGACCACAGCAACAACCAGCACTCAGGTCTGGAGCGATGCATTTCAAGCGAAATCTTCAGCTTATTGTTTATTTGACCATGATATTATAGAACTACAAAGAAGTGTACAGTATGTACAACATGTACACACACACTGCGATCTTGTAATATATGGCAAAAAGGATGGATGTGCTCACATATCTGCTACTTTTATTAAAATGACAAATGGTTTCATTCGTTGCATGTTACATTTAATTTCTTTTTACATTGACAGAAAACTGACTTGTTTAAGGAAATCTGGAAATTGATCACAATTCACAAAGTCAAAAATGTTTGATTAAGATCTTTAATGATCGATTCTTGCATCACTATCTGCATTTTAACCATTTTCTGCAGCAGACCTCTGCCAAATACAGATTTCTGGGATTTGTTTTTCTGAGGACAGTAACATCCACCCATGTTCTAACCGCTTATCGTGGTCGGGGCTCTGGGGGCCGGGAGACTATCCCAGGCAGCAGAAATCACAGGAAGACCCTGGACAGGATGCTGCTCCATCTCAGGCCACATACATGCTGTATTATTATAGTTTTGATTTTTTAATTTAATTTACATTTTATATTCGCGGCCAGCTTACTATTGCCTGCAAAGAGGTGTAAAGAGAATTTCCCCACCGGGATCAATAACGTATCAATTGTATTATTTTCATATTTTTTTTGAAATCCAGTTTAGTTTTACTTAGTCTTTGATGTGGTTTTAGTAGTTTTTATTTTAAAGACATATTTATATTTGGTTTTTATATATTTTAGTTTCAGTTTCAGTTTAAGTCATTTTAAGTGACAAAATACTGCATTTGGTCCCCACAATGTAATATAAGCCTAATTCATACAAGCGCACACACACACACACACACACACACACACAATCATACATTATGGTCACCATGGACACAACCTAGCCTGAGTGCATATCTTCCGGTTGCAGGTGGAAACCAGAATCTCCTGAGGAAACCCATGTGACCTGAGGAGAATATGCAAGCCGCACATAAACAGAGGCAAGACGAGAACGACAGTGTGACAGTGCTACATGTGGCCGCCCAAGGGCAGTAACTCTTACAGGTCAAATCTTTAAAAGCAAAAAACCCTGAGAAGTGAACAGCATTAGTATGTTGCTGAAATGTGCAAAGTGCTTCACTCTCTCACTCTTATGCTCCTTCAGCCTTTTAATCAGGGACAGTCCAATAAGAGGCACTCCTGCTGTAATCAGAAAGGCTGCAGCCCCAAATATAAGAGGCAGCTACTCCTCAGGCCGTAAGATGTGTAAAGCGCGGGGCACCTCGGACAGCGTCACCGCGAAGCCGTGATTAACGCGGCATCTGCGAGGAAAGCAGGGCAGAACGTCAAGCGCTGCAGTTAGACCCGGCAAGGAGGAGCCCCGTCTCCGGGCCGAGTGCGAATTCACGACACTCATTGCAATCCATCCTTATCAGTCACAGTGAAAGCAGAACAAATTGCCCAGGAATGTCTAGGACATTCTGCAAGGACTTTGCAGTCTTAAAAGATGAGCTGAAGCAGGCATGGAGAGCCTGTATCCTTTCATTACGTTTATTTTATGGACGCTTTTACACAAAGCAATGTACAAGAGAGGACAGCTTGGGATCAGAGAGCAGGTCAGCCAGTGTCCCTGAAGCAGCTGGGGTTAAGGGCCTTCCTCAAGGGCCCAACAGTGATATGATTACTGGGCAGGCCATGGGATTTGAACCCGTGACCTTCTGGGCAGATCCGTACCTTGCTGGACTCCACACCACATACAGAACCACTCGACTCGGCCCTCTCTCATCCTGTTCAGTCTGTGCAGGTATCAGGAAACGAATCAACAGCGAAACAGCAGGATAGGCATCAGGTGAGGATGTGTAAGTGCATGTCAGCTCCCAGTGTATGATGTGTGTCAGAAGAGGACATGCAGCAGGCCAGGGGAGGCCCTTCTGGGTAGAACCCGTAGCACAGGTCCCAGGTCAGTCTGCGCGTGTGCTCCTTGCGCCAAGGTTATTCCTTTCCAAGCTAATTGATCCGCGAGTGTTTAATGCGCTTTGAAATGAGCTGCTCCCCTCGCGCTAATAGAGCAGAATTAATCTAATGGCAGGTACAAGACGTGAGGTCTGTCATCTCCCTCCCGACGCCGATCCGACGTGAATAACGAGCCCACCTGGCTGCTGGAATTCTGGAGAGGCAAGTACTCCCCCCCCCCCCCCCCCCCCCCCCTCCCCAGGATTCCCCTAATGTGAAGAGACAACGTGCAGAAAGGTGACTTTCATGGAACAGCAGAGGGCTGACACAAGCAGTCGTGCGCTGGGTGGCCCACAGGAGTCCCGCTGTACCGCGCTGTATATTTTTATAGAGAGTCGCCATCTAATGGGTTGAGGTGAGGTGCCATTATCTCCAGAATAGACTAATCTTCCGCCCGTCTTGCTTTATTGAGTTGGATAAATATAATATTGCTCTCCAATCCATTATCTATTCTATTTATACAGCAGATCTTAATGCATTTCCTTCTGCCACGGCCTCACGCCACTTTTGGATCAACAGCGTTTTTGTGCTTATATTTGTTTCCTCCTTCATGTGAAAAAGTTTCCATGACCGTGTGGATGTGGCCTTGCTTTGGCTGCTTCGGCTGGCTCCCCATATATTGGGATCAATAATCAGAACTGCACATGATTGTACTGCATTAATTTTCCTGTGAAATTATTTACATATTGATCAAGCCACTGCTTTAGCTCCTATAGACTATATTCAAGGGCCTAACAATTTGCCAGACCTGTAGGATCAGTCATTGTGCGATTGGAATAACACTGGCCAAGGAACAGATCGCCCCCATTCACGTGCTTCAGAAACTCAACACGTCACTTTCCCATTTAATTTCGCTAGTGGGTATAAAAACGGACGCATTCATGTGCTGTCACTGTCACTGTCATTGTCACGTCACCCCTTTCCAAACAGGGGCTGCCTCAGATCTCCATGACTGGTCACCTTGAAGCATCGGACTCCAGAGCTGGGGAGCAGAGACTCTCACTCTCCCTCTGTGGCTTTGACACATGGGAAAATAGAACTGCCAGGCATGACAGCAAACAATGAGGCAGCCATCAGAGCGATCGCTATTCTGCAGAGAGCGGCCCCTTGCCTGCCACGCTCCCGCACGGCCCTGTCCATCCAAACACTTCCACCGTAGTTAACAGCTCCCAAAAAGGGGGTTAAAGGGATTCACCACTGTTTGTTTTGGGGGTAGTTAGTTTGTGCCCATTGCTTCCCGTCACCCTGTTGTGCAGGGGACAGACACTGTGCTGTGTTATATCTCCCGACTGCTATTTCCCAGGTTTTATTTGGCTTCTCGCTGACAGGTAGCGAGCCGAGGATTAACCTGAAGGGATCTTTCCTTCATGACATTAAACTGAAGTGCCCTTGAAGGATACAAGGACTCCACAGTGGCACTGGTGACTTTCTTAAGCACCGCTCACATGTTTTAGATTATTACCGACGAGGTTCGCAATCGGTCTGAGGCTCTGAGATGTCACGTGAGCCCAATGACGGCAATATTTGTGTTTGACAATGACAGTATAAACCCCTTTTACGGTGATGCACTGCTGTTATCTATCCCAGTGTGATTAATTTTCAGTTTCAATTACATGACCATTAATGTAACAATTAGTATTATGTGATCATTTCCAGATAGGAGCCGCAAACGAAACGATGACCAAAACGAAGATGGACAAATGGCCTGTTTTCAGAACCCCCATCAACACTGAGCAGGACACGGGGAATACAGATCAGCCCTTCCTATTTGTTAAGTTTGCCATCCCTAAACACTGACAGGTCTATTTCTTTCAAATCCAGAGAGAGCCAATAATAGCAGAAGATGCTTAATTACCCTACATTGCGCGGAACAATGAAAGCGCGCACTAAGAAGGAGGTAGGCTAGGCTAGCTGTTAGCGTCTGAGCAGGGCGGCGCAGTCCCAGGCCGAATGCTTCCACTGCAACATGGATGCTAATGAAAGGCACTCAAATGAGTAATGTCTTCATTGGTGAAAAATTAATGACTTTTCTAGCCAGGGTTAATGGACATGTCAAACACAGAAAATGAGTTGTTTGAAAGTAAATTACTGTAATCTATATTTAGTCAACTCTGCAGAAAATCCCACCGGCCAGACCCCAAGTCTGGGTGCTCTTTTGGAGATGAGCTGCCCACACTAATTCTTCCTTTTATACTAATATCACTTCTTCATGCGTTTAATTTCTAATTTCACCGGAAGCACTGATACCACACTTCCACAGCCGTAATGTCACATTAACACTGAGACTCAGACTGCTTTATCACAAAGGCCAACATAATGTGCATGTGCCCAGACGTATCTGTTTTAGCAATGAAAACACGTTAGTGTCTGAACGGAATTCCACACTGGAATGAAGCTTCATCAACACTCGGCTGGAGGATGAGTTATAAAATATGGATTACACGGCATCTCAGGAGGTGGGCTGTCTATGTGTAATAACTTTAATAACTCAAATGCCATGATTAAAATAAGATGAAATTAAAAACAACAATAATAATATGCCATGAGGTTTTTAAATTAAACTATTTAGATGAAAATGCCAACACCTAAGTACACTCGCTGCTATACTCAAGCAAGGACTCAGAGTACTTTTAGACAGTCTTGTGTTGAAGTCCACCTTAGCTGAGTCAAAACTGAGTGCAACAGAGGGGTGAGTCTGAGACGAGACCGTGTCCATTACCGGGGCTGGGTAGCAGAGTCCGAGTCAAAAACACAAGTTTGATTCTAGACCATGAACCTGAATTCAAAAACAATACATTGAAGATTAAAGAAATACCTCAAAAAATAAATAATTTAAATAAATTTCAAATGACCAACAACTAAGAAATAACTACAGTGGTACCTCAGAACTCGAACTTAATCCGTTCAGAACGCCGAATAGAATCCTAAAAAGTTCGAGTTCTGATTGAATTTTCCCCATAAGAAATAATGGAAGACCAATTAATCAGTTCCCGACCCCAAAAAATGACACCTAAATATGTTTTTTTTTTTTTTTGCATTTAAACACAAAATGAACCGAATAAGAAGAGCATATACTATACTAAACACATCTATGCACATTTCTCAAAACAGTAATTTGTAAAGTAAGAAAATAAATGCTAACGGATTAGGCTGTAATGGTACATGTATTTGTGCCGTTCGGTTATTTCACACAACAAGTGAATGCATTGCTTGACACATGCAGAAACTAAATTCACAAGTAGATATTCAATATGGAAAACATTATGCTATTCAAACATTTGGGAACATTTTGGTTTCCCAATCAAACTGGAGACCAATACTGGACAGTTGATGAGACCAAGACTGTCGGCTTGATTATACCGAATTCTGATATGTTTTTGGAAACATGTTCAACATGATGACTCAGTTAAAATAGCATAATTTGAGTGTGTGTACAACCAAAGCAAGGCAGAAACAGCCTCTGCAAGTTAGTCTCCTTGTGGCATTTAAGGTGTTTTTGCCAGGAAATTCAGACCAGGCCAAAAAAATAGCTATGACTTTCAGCATGTTTATTGCTACAGATATGCGACTGAATTTTATAGCAGACAACATGGGATTTAGTTCATTATGCTTCTTATAATACAGGGTTATTTTTGAATATTTATTTATTATACATTTTTAATTTACATATTTTATGTTGTGCAAATGGCATCTCTTAGGATTTGTTATTCAGGCACATTGACAGACACATTACGTTCAGCTTAAAACTGTTCATAATTGTGATTGTGTTTAGTTTGCAGCTATTAAGGAATAATTTCTAAAGAAATTCCATTTCCCTACCATACCAAAGTTGTACCCAACCTTAAACACAACACTGACGTTTGTACCAAACTGTGAATTTTGTGTACCGTTACTCCCCTATAATGATTATCAGCAATATTTGCATTCCACAATGTTTCTTTTTACTGTATGTCTTGCATAGGAAATCCTTAAGGTATATGTACACAAAACGGATAATCGCTGATTTGGCAGACACGATGAAGCTGTGAGTTGACTATGGGTGTGTGCACTACACTGAAAAATATGAAGGGTGCAGACATACACTGGGCATTGGAAGCACTCAGGAAGGTTGTCCGAGTCACAAACGTTTGAGTCCGAGTCAACAGTAGCAAGACTGCTCACCAGAGAATGTAGCAAGATTGTCAATTCATATGTGGATTCAAAACAGAGTCTGGACTTCAGTTCCACGACTATGCTTTTACAGCCGATGGAACCTTTACATTTTATTTACTTAGCAGATGCCCTTATCCATAGTGATTCACATTCTTGTGAAAGTCCCTGGAGCAATTGGGCCCATCTGTGAAATTGCTCTGCTGATCCCCATGATTCAAACTGGCGACCTTCTGATCACAGGCAAAGCATCCTAACCCACTGAGCCAGACACCACCCCCGAATAAACCAGATTAGCTAGAGGAAAGTCATGCAAACTCAACACACGCAGGGCTGGGGGGCGAGATCCAAAGTGCGCAGCCCCCCCTCACAGAGTTATATGCTAGCTGTAATGTGTTACAATATGCTCTGTGAGTGCAACCTTTCACTGACAGAAAATGAAAAATTTTGGAAACAAAAAAAAGAGATCCAATTCTAGGTTCATAAACAAAAGAATTCCCAGAAATGCACCATGTTTCTCAAATTCTCACCGTCACAGTTTCAGAACAACCGCAAACAGCTCCCTAGCATCCATGATATCTTCAGTATGAGCGGGTCCGGTGAGTCAGAAGAAAGCAAACATGTTTTCTTCATTGTTCCTCAGAATTTAAAGACAAACAGCCTTCAAACAGTGATAAACAATACTAATGCTTTTATTTCTTGTACAAATATACAAGGGGAACCTGCAGAAATCGGCACTATTTCTGCTGAGGTTCACGTGCCAAATTCCACACAGACAGAAGGCATATGAGTTTAAGGCCAAACTTGGCACATTAATAGATCCTTGGATTTAGCCCATATATCAAAAGCGATATTATGCAGTGAACTACGATACCTATTCAGAGCTGATTTTCCTGCCACCAGTGGAGGGCAAACATTCATGAATTTGCAGCTGTAATACGGGCAGGGGACACGCTCTTGAGTTCTGTGGTGTCATTTTGTGATTAGTCAGTGTTAGTCAGCAAGCG